TTGTCGACGTGGAGCATGGCGGTTCTGCCGCTGGATGAGTGTGACGAGCAGCCCTTGGACGGCCTCATCAAGCTCCGTGTCAGGAATCCATACGCGGCGGCAGACAGTGTGTCCTTTTGGTCAAGCTGTTTGCAGATGGAGCTTGCTTGGAACATTTCGGTGTACAATGTGGTGAGCGATTCACGACTCATCTCCGTTCCTGAAATGGTCCCGGACTGGATCTGGGTTCATCGCCTGCAGTCAATTGAGGAGCTGTTGGTTTGGGCAGGCTGGGAACTCGAATGGGAGAACCGATTGCTCAGACAGGCAGCCCAAGCCAAGAATCGGCAGAACCGCAAAAGGAAGCAATCGGAGTCTGCCGGTGTGGGCAGAAGTAGACAGCAGGAGTTGGGAGATGCAGAAGTGGACCAGGAAGGTCCAGGTCCAGAGCAAGACGATGGTCAAGACTTCTTGGATGAACCGGACTTGGAAGCCGAGGCGGCTGCTGCAGAGAAGCAGGACAACTTCATTCATGATTTGCTCGATGATGGTGCTGATGCAACAAACGAGCCGAGCCTGGCAGGATCCGACTCTGTCTTGGATGATTTAGAAGGCTTGCTTGAAAATGCCACAGACGAGGAGCAAGTGGACACAGAGGCCGGTATTTTATTCATTGCTTGCTTGGTCCCCTGCCACATTGTTCCGGTTTTTATGATCTGCACCCTGTGCCTTGGACCTAGGGCCCTAGGGGCTTAGCAACTTACTGATGCAATTGGCCATTTTGTGTCGTAGCTTCATGATCATGATGATATTTTGTATGTTTCTGCATGTGTCAGGAAGGAAAGACATAGCTTCATAGACAATCATAGAGTCATAGACTGTCATAGAAATAAACCGAGATGTGAGTCAATGCACACAGGCTGTGCCGAGTCTGCGAGTGGAGCCTTCGAGTGGTTCCGGTCAGAGAGCAGAGGCCAGGCAAGAAGTTCATGCTTTACCCGTTCGGGCTTTGCTTCGATATTCTTTGTTGAGGTCTCAGCCATGGAGCCTCGTGTTGGAGCAGAAGCAGAGACAGAGGCGGCATCGGGCAGTGTTTTGCGCACTATCTTGAAAGACCTAGAATCGACATGACATAGGACATAGGACAGTATTAGGCTCTCAGGTGGGAACTGCGATATCTTCTCAAGCTCCTTAACCCAGATAGGCTTCACGCGGTAGATTTTAGTACATATATATGTATATATATATATATATGCATGCTCAACATGGACTTCAGTCGCTTGCTACACTTGCTTTCCCCGTGCGGCTGATGTTGTTTGGGTATTGTGCAGCGTGGGTGTGTCGAATTTATGTCAATTTATGTTCTTACAAGCTTGATTGTCCAAGTCCTGTGTTTTAAGCCTGCATACCCTCCGGCCCACAGGCCGACATCGAAAAGCTCAAAGTTTTCAAGTTGCATGGTCCTCTATATTATATCCTAAAAAACTGAATGTCCGTCCATGCTGTAGCTTGTTGTTTGAATGATCCGTGCTTGAAGCTTGGCTCAGGTCCCTGGTCGCCCAGAAGACCCTGCTGTGCCTCGGCGCCCCGGAAGGCCAACCACGGTGGTCGTGGTGGGAGATGTCGGGGAAGTGCGATTCAATTCAGAACAAAAGAATTATGTGGCGGTGTGCAAAATACGTTCGCACAATCAGGCAGGTGAGGCAGAATGCCGAAAGACCCGTACAGTGAATGCTGGCCGGAATGCCTTTAACCCTGGACAGGGACGTCCCCTAGGACTCCTGGTGGGGTGGTTGAGGTGTGCTTCTCTTCACGATACCGGGGAAGGGCACAAGAAAGCAGTATCCAGGCTGACCAAGGCAGATCGTTTGGAGGCGAGGAAATTTTTTTACGAACAATGCGAAGGTGGTCGTTCCATTTCTTCTCACGAACGTGAGAAGAGAGAAGGCGAGGATTCGGAGCCGGAGATCATCAAATGAATGATCTTTTCCACCGGCTTGCACAAACGTCCGCCTGCCTGTGGCTTGCAAAAAGAATGAGCCTTCTTGTTGCCTCACTCCTCGGGCCCTGGACCCCAGAAGAAACACTTCAGGTAATTCAACTGTACTGCCGACATCGTCTGCAGTATTGATGGACCGACTTGTTGTAAAGCAGAACATGCTATCTTAGCCGTGTTTGGAAGCTTCACTGTTCAGTTGGGCTGGGCCGAGCCACATGAGATGAAAGAGTGCATGAGCCGATGAGCCCCTGATTGAACTTGAAACCCGAAGCCCCGAACACACTTGAACCCGAAGGTGACAAACATCCGGCCCGAGCACAACCCGAAACTTTGGCCCTTGACACGAAAATAGGAAAGGTTGGGTTACACGGTTACAGTACTGTGTCCATGAGGGGAAAAATCCAAGGTCAGCATGATGTGTAGCAGTAGCACTTCCAGTTGGTTGCTCCAGGATTTACTTGGTCTTCTTGCACAAGAAGTACTACTCCGAGGATGATGCCAAGAAGCTGCGCAAGCTTTACCAGGATTCCGTTGGCCTCATTTTGGGTGTGTTCATGCTTGGATGTCCTAGCCGCTGAAGTCTTTTCAGGACTTCGTCACCCGCTTGAAGATGCAGTCCCCCACCGACATTTCGCAGCTTCTCCTCCCGTTGGACAGTTCCGAGCGGGTGTCTGCGTTGGAGAAGTTGGATGCTCGAGACACTCGTTCCACAATATGAAACAAACATGTAAGACCATGTCCTTCGGCTTGTTGAGTCCCGCAGGAATGATGGGCACTGCGGCTGAAGGGGTTCTCAGGTCCAGAGGTGTTCGGTCAGAAGCCATCCATTGCTGTTAAGTTGTTGTGCCAGTTTTCCGGAAGCAAATGCCAGTTGCACAGTCGCATTTCAAGACGAATGAAACACAACCAAAGACACGAAATACGTTCACTCCACTCCTTTCCGTTTACCTACCGTTGTATGCTCGAATTCCATTCCCAAACAGCCTAAGGTCCAAATGCAGGGTGGGTCGCAGCAGGCTTGCTTTTTTTTGGTGGCTTGCATCGGTGTCCCTTTTTTGCTCCGATGTCCGTTGCACTTTTGCTTCTTTTGGAACCGAAACATATGGCCAATTGTTTTTCTATTTTTTCCCTTTGTCGAAGCTGTCGATGCAAATGAAGACAGATTGCTAATTTTGCAGTGTTTTCCAATATTAACAGAGGAACAGTACGCAGAAACTTAGTGCTTTCCAATATTTTCCTAATTTTCAGCTAAAAACTAGAGACAAAATAGGAAAAAATAGGAAAATACGGAAAACACTAGGAACATCATTGAAATTTAGCGAAAATCTAAAATTTACTATCTTTCCTATTTTTCCTATTTTTTCCTATTTTTTCTCTATTTTTTCTCTAATTTTTAGCTAAAAATTAGAGGAAAAATAGGAAAAAAAAGAGAAAAATAAGCAAAACAATAGAAAAAGCAATGAAATTCAGCGAAAATGAGGAATTTTGTAGTGTTTTGTATTATTTTTGCATTTTTTCCTCAATTTTTAGCTCAAAATTAGAGGAAAAATAGGAAAAAAAGAGAAAAATAAGCAAAGCAATAGAAAAGCAATGAAATTCAGCGAAAATGAAGAATTTTGCAGTGTTTTGTATTATTTTCGTATTTTTTCTTCAATTTTTAGGTAAAAAATATAGGAAAAATGAGGAAAAGCTCACGACATCAGTGACACCCATAGTAATTAGAACATTTTGCAGTGGGTTCCATCATTTTCCTAATTTATTCCGGCAAAATTAGGCAACACTTGGGAATCACGTGCAAAAAAATGTTGATTTATTAGGTGAAAAAAGCAACCAAAAAGGAATGCCAAGAAGCATTGAAAAAGCAGCAAAAAAACGGGCACCGGGCCAAGGCGAAAACAAATTGCACCACAGGAATTGGAGATGGAGCTACGTCGGCTATGTTACAAAGCAAAACACCGATCCCTCACGAGATCCCGAAATCGATTGAGAGTGGTGCAGATGCAAAGGCTGGAGATTGGCTTTGAGATGAACATTTCGAGCTTTTTGGTTGGTTGCAAGAATGAGAATTCGAAAGCCAGGGCTTTGAGATGTAGGTTTTGAGCTTTTCGGATGGTTGCAAGAATGAGAATTGGAAACCAACGGCTTTGAGATGTAGGTTTTGAGCTTGTCGGTTGGTTGCACGAATGAGAATTCGAGTGCCAGGGCTTTGAGATGTAGGTTTTGAGTTTGTCGGTAGGTTGCAAGAATGAGACGTGGAAACCAAGGGCTTTGAGATGTGGGTTTTGAACTTTTTGCTTGGTTGCAAGAATGAGAATCGGAAAGCTATGCGGGCTTTGAGATGGATGTTTTGAAATGAGAATTGGAAACCAAGGGCTTTGAGATGTACGGTTTAAGCTTTTTGGTTGGTTGCAAGAATGAGAATTCGAAAGCGAGGGCTTTGAGATGTAGGTTTTGAGCTTTTCGGTTGGTTGAAGAATGAGAATTCGAGTGCCAAGGGCTTTGAGATGTAGGTTTTGAGCCTTTGGCCTTTGGGTGGGTTGCAAGAATGTGAATCGGAAGGCCATGCAGGGCTTTGAGATGTATGTTTTGAGCATTTCGGTTGGTTGCAAGAAGTGCCAGCGCTTTGAGATGTAGGTTTTGAGCTTTTGGGTTGGTTGCACGAATCAGAATTGGAAAGCAAGGCTTTGAAATGTAGGTTTTGAGCTTTTTTGTCGGTTGCTAGAATAAGAATTCGATTGCCAGGGCTTTGAGATCGAAACACCTCGGCATACAGACAGTTCTCGTCTCGTGCAGCATCCTGGCCGGGGCCATAGCTAAGGAATGCCGGGCTGCCGATCCGAATGCGGACTTCGTTTGGAAGACGGAGAGCCGAGACCTCCGGAAGAGTTTGGGGGTGGACGACTTGTGCCGGCCATGGACGGGTAGGCCGGAATACAGGGGTCTCGGTGTGCCGAAGAGCGAGAGGATGCGGGAGGTTCTAGATCTTTTCGTGATCAAAAAATGCAAAGAAATGCACATCAGCATGGATGCTGACTTGAGCAACGTGCTGAGAGACCAGTACTTGGATCTGTCCCAGTCGGTGAGCAGGAATGCTCACACCAACAAGTTTGGGATCAGTCACTGCTTGAGCACGAGCAGTTTGATTTATTCTTTTGCGAGGGACTCCGTCCTAACGGGCAGAGAGCTCATGCTGATTCAGGGGCAGCCGAAAACTTTGTCCCTTCCCGATCTGTCCGAGTCTGTGATTGGCCAGCTTGCGGGCGAAGGAATGGCCTTGCCCTGCCTGGCATCTGTCATCTGGTGCATTTACTTGACAAAGCAATTTCCAATGGATCCTCTGTTGCAGTGACTGCGTGCAGCAGTGAAGGCCATGCTCTTGAAGGCCGACTGTGGCCAGGTTTTCGTGGCCTTGCACCCTATGGCCTGCAGGTCCAAAGCAAAGATGCTTGGGGTAGTCTGTGTTATTCCAATCATAAAGGTTGCCCGCTTGCTTCAAGACATGCATGTTCGTTTCAAGTAGGGCTGGCAGGCTTGGGGTGGAGACGCTGGCTATTTCTCCAGCTTAGCTGGGTTACCAGTCCAGCTGGAAAGCCTTGCAGCGCTCAGTAGTATAGGTACAGTAGTATAGGAGCTGTCCACACACATTCCTTGAGAGACTCGTGTGAGAATGAGTTTCCTGTGGTAGACTGGTAGACATGGGACATAGGCCTACAGTGCACAGGCATTCTCTGGCGAAAACAGTGCATGTTTGTGTTCGTCGTGCGACTGTCAGACCCAGACTTGGGAGCAGGCTTGACTGTTGTGCACTTCTGCTGATTTCGACCTGGATGCAGAAGTTTTTCTATCAGACCCTGGGGTCTGGGGCCTTCGTTTGCTCATTTGCTTTCTCCGTCATGGCCGGACGAGGGAGGAAAACCCCACAAAAGCCTTTCAGCAAGGACTCCCCAATAAGAAGGTTTACAAATAGCATGGGACCCACCTGTAGCCAATTGGTTTAATTGATGCGATGGTTCAGCTCAATTTGGAAAACTGCGAACTGGTTCATCCTTGGTTTCATTCTCTCGGCAGGACGAAGATGGTCTGGACGCACTGAGTGCGCGCTCCAAACCTGAGTCCAGCAGGGCATCGAAGCGTCTGAAGCGGAATCTTCAGATTTGCTACGTGTGTGGCACAACGTCCGAGGACTTTGGGTGAACTGATCACTGTAGCAGTAGCAGGCTGTAGCAGCATGCATGTCTCTGAGACTGAGACAGATTCCCAATTAGAATCCCACTGGCAGTGCTAAGGCTAAGGGCTGGTTCTAGAGGTAGAGCAGTCTGCGATTGCATTCATTCTTGCAGCGTGTCTGACTGTTACTCGAAGGAGAGTGTCATGGCGACCACCGACGGGACTGGGGCCAAGGTGACGGATGCGTGCTATCGATGCTGCTCAACCTGGACCACTTTGTCTCCAGGGTCCCCCTGGTGTGTGTGTTGCAAAAAGCCGCTTGGATTGCACATAGTCCCGAGTCCCATAGCCATGGTCCGCTGTCCAAGACTTCATGCTTTTCTTTCTATCCTTCCTTGTGACGGATGGATATGTCAATGTCTCCCATCCAGCTTTGAATCTCCCGAGCTTCAGGATACAAGAAAGTGGCACGATGTGTCAGTGCTCTGCAAATCAACAGGATAGTACATCACATGTTTCAGCAAGTCTGGTCATGCCTTCTAGGATTGGAGTTGAAAGGTGTGTAGCGTGTTTGCAGCACCAGTGTGGGATTGCAGTTCACTTGTTGACAAGCTTCAACGATCCTTCATGTGAGAGCTGTCGCTCTTGTTTGATGCCAGCTCGCCGAATGCACAGAGGAAAGATGCGAACGAGAACGGCTGGAGAAGCGAATTCAGCCATTGCTGTGCCGTGCACTTTGGTGACGAGGAGAGCAATGTCGAGCGCCCCGCCAATGTCCTGGACAGGCAAGTGCAGGGCTACGAGAGCTACATCGAGTTTGCCCTCCTCTCCGATGCTGAGTTCCTCGAGCTTGCTGACCTGCCGGAAAAGACGAAGATATCCTCAGCTGCCCATAAGATGGTGAACCTTCCCAACTGTTTTGGTGAAGACCAAAGCTTCCGCCTCGTCTCCCTCAAGGGCATGGATCTTGGCACCATCTTTTCGGTGCAGAAGGTGAAGTTCTATTGCAATGTTGGCTTGTCCATGGATGAGCTGCTCTTGCAAGCATCACGGCAGCTGCAAGAAGACCATGCCGCACGGATCTTCGCAGCAGCCGCCAAGGAGCAAAAGGACACAGCAATGCCCTTCACCGCCGCGCAGAGGAAGAACCTTCAAGAGATCCACACTGTCGAGTCCTTGAAAGCAAAGCTTGTGAAGGATGCGGCTCGCACAGGTGCTGACCTGCTGAAACCTGTGGAGACTGATCCCCCAGAGGCTGCCTCGGACGATGACATGGAGGACGATGCAACGGTGGGGAAGAAAGCAGTTGTGAAGGGCCTCTCCAGTCGCCTGCAGAAAGCGGTGGAGGAGCAGACGATGGCGAAGGGCAAGCAGCCGAAGCGCAAGGTCGGCAAGCAGCCGGACAAGAAGCAGAAGGAGGACGATGCCGATGAGTCGACTGCCATCGACAGCGGCTCATTGGAGCACCCGAGTGGGCTCGAGGAAGTTGCGGAAAGCATGCAATCGATCCCGAAATGCTTCCGATCGCTGTCCATCCCTCGCATACTTGCAGGTGAGAAACTGATGAGATCCGTGGATGCTGCCAAAAGCGTGGCGGATACACTCAAAAAGGAGAAGAACTATTCGTACCGGTTTCCCGAGCGGGTTATATCGGCTTGTGAATGTGCCAACGCTCTCTCTCAGAACTTGCCAGCTCTCTCCAGGCGTGACGTCCAGCTTTCCGTCAACTCCTTGATCCAGCAAGGACACACGCTTCCGCTTGAGCTCCAGCTGCAGATCAACAAGCGCATCTTCGGCTTCCTCATCGATGACTTGGTGGAAGTCATGAAAATGAGGAGCGACGAGAAGGCCAAGAAGCTGGAGCCGCTGATGTCGCAGCTCATGGACTTCATGTGCTGTTGGAAATGTGCGCCCGACCAAAGCTGGAGCTTCACGAACCCAGGCTTTGCTGTGGTCGCTGGAGAGCTGCAAAGCACGATGCAGGACGACTGTGTCGACCTGTCGAGTGTGCTCAACGAGGAGAAGATTGCGGAGAGGGCCCTCAAGAACGAGGCATCGACTTCATAGTCAGTGCTTTGGCATGTTGGCTTATCCTTCCAGTCACCACCGGAATTCCCGTCGCAAAAAGTCTTGCTTCCTTCAGCCTTCAGTCTTTGCATTCCGAAGCGCCGCTGAGTGGTTCAGACTTCTGTAGTGCTTGAATTGCTTGAAGGTGGCAAACATAGAATGCATAGAATTTCTGCCATAGATCCTTATTCCTCGATGAATTGCGTATTGTATTCACCGGATTTTCCTTTTTAGGGCACTGAGTCCTTCAGACTTTCCAGTTTTAAGCAGGTCCTACGGGCTTGAAGGTGCTGAGCATAGAATCCCAGAGAGAGTAAGATGTGAAGTACAATCATTGTATCATTTTGCAAGCTTCTGGCACTGAGTTGTTCAAAGATTCCGGTCAAGAAGCAGCACTGAGTCGTTGAGACTCTTGTGAGGGTCCTACTGTTTCAAGGTGCTGAGCATAGAAATCGATAGGTAAGATTTGTACAAGTGCAGCCATGTGCTCCTAAGAACATCGTCAAATGTGTAAGCCCGGAAAACATCTCCGGTAGTTATACCATTGTGTCCTGATGCAGGAGTTTACGGACGCAGTGCTGAAGGCCTTCTGCAACAATTCCTTCATGCAGCTCTTGGACGATGAGGGCCCCCAAGTTCTTCAGAAGCGACTTCTGTTGCAGCTCATCTGCCAGAAGTACATTGATGCGTTCAACAAGGACAGTGTCGAAGGCTTGGAAAACGACTCTGTTCTTCCGGGGGCAAAGGAGGCCGCGATCCGCCTGAAGAACACTTTGTCCCCCCTGCTCGTTCTCTTGGATCCGTTGCCATCGCAAGACCGCCCGGACGTGTCGAGTGTGTCTGTTTTGATGGATGAGCCGAAGACGGGGTCCAAGAAGAACGACCCGAATCCTTTTCTCACTGCTGTCATCCTATGCTTGTCCACCACAGGTTGGCAGAAGATGATGGACGAAGTCCTTAAGGGTGCTCCAGGCTACTCCAAGCATGGGCAGGCCATCCAGGACTTCACAGCAGCTCTCCAGGAGGAGACCGAGATGAGCATCAGCAACTCTTTGCGACTGGCCTTGGAGAAGTTCAAAGAGTTCGACAGGGTCATGCGACCCGGATCCCTGAAGCGTCTCGAGGAGGCCATGTGCAAACGGTTGAAGGAGATCGGGGAATGGACCGTGCAGCAGAACAGTGTCGCAGGCCTTCCGGCGGACTTCGTTCAGTTCCTGCAGAAAGGGTTCTCGCTCTTCACAGGCTTTACGGACCTGGATGCCCGGGTGAGGCAATGGAGCGCGAAGATGGCCAAGGAGCTTGGGTGGAATCGGCTCAAGGATATCGTTCAGGAGCTTCAATCGACGAAGGATGCTGGTGCAAGCGTGGTAGTTCCCTTTGAAGACATCAAAGAGCTCCTGGACGGCATTGCAGACATTGCTGCATGCGAGAATGCGGAGGACACCCTCTCCAAGCTCGCACGGTTCATGTTTATGAACATGGAGGAGAAGGCGGGCTGACAGCAGCTGAAACTTGCCAATCATTGGTGCTTGGGGTTTCGGCGGCCATTGGGATTGCATCCAGCTGTAACTTATTAGGATGAGCCTCTGCCAATGTCAGCGAAGGTCGTGGTGGTGTGTATATAGCAGTAATATAGCAGTCAAGTGTAGTGATGTAGTCATGTAGCAGCATGTAGCGCAAGTTGGCAGCAAGTGTTTTGTGTTGGTGAGCAGATCTTGCTTGTTGTGCACAGTCCGGGTTTTCCTATTCCCAAACCGACGGTCAAGGTGTCCAGTCTTGATTTTGGGCTCCTTTCAGGCACGACTTGTTCGAGGGAGTGTGTACATGTTGTTCTTACACAGTGTAAAAGGATGCTTGGCTCTACATTCTATGTTGTGCCACCGGATGTAACCCCAAACAAACTCCGCATCGAAAGCAGTGCTGTGCAGAGCACGGCACTCTGCTACTGCTAGGGCGTGCGTGTTCAAGTTACAGCCTGAACCCCAACAGTTGCACTGGTGCCAATGTGTTTGTATCGGCCAGTGGCAGATGTTGTCATTATTCATTGCTGCTTGCTTACTCTGTTGAGTCTAGTGAGAGTCTAGTGAGTCTAGTGAGTCTAGTGACTCTATAGGGCCCCTAGGGCTTTACTCCAGTGCCCAGCTACTTCGTCCTCCTCAGTTGGCAAGGTCCGAGCAGGATATGACCCCACTTAGTTCGCCTCGGCTACATTTTCCTGCTACGTGTTATAATGTGGGTTTCGAACTGCTGGTCAGGCGGAGCAGCGCTTGCTGACGATGGACATCGTGGGAATGGCGGTGCGTGTGATTGACCTCGCCTTCACCAGCGAGGCGGCACAGCTTTGGGCCCAGCAGACCAAGTGGTTGAAGGATGCATTGGGGCTCCAGAAGCAGGGCGAGCGCTGGTTGAAGATGGGCAAGAGCGCAGAGGTCAGGTTCAAGAACGATGTGAAGCAGGGTGTCCTGGGCGGCTACTTGAAAGCCGCCGAATCGCTGTTCAATTCCACGCTTCAAATCCAGGAGCAGCTTGAGCAAAGCTCCGTGCAGCAGGATTTGCGGCCGCCTGTGATCTTCAGTGGCAAAGAGTCATTGGCCTTCGACCCGGAGATCTTTGAGGCAATGCCATTGCTAGCTGATATGCTGGAGAAGTCAATGGACGACAACCTCCAAAAGCTCCGGGACCTCACCTATGACAAGCATCAGGGGGAGAAGCTTTGGAAGGCTGACTTGGCCAAGGATGCGAAGGACTCGGATGTCCTCAACTGTGCCTCCGTGCAGCTCGGCTCCATGAACATGGAGCAGTTGGACTCCGTCCTCTCTTCATTGCAGGAGGTTATCTGGCCGAGTTAGAATGCTTTGAGCTTTAAGTCTTTGATTTAAGCCAAGCCTTCAGACTTCAGTCTTGTGTTTCATGCTACTTGGTGCCCAGACTACTCACCCTGCAGTGCTGCAGCCCAAGCCGTGAGCTGAAGGTTTGTTGTACAGGATGGAAGGAGTCACAGGAAGGAGATCTTCAAGATTGCATTGCAAATGCCGTTTGTTCAGCTGCGCGGAGTGTAGGTAGTAGGTCGTAGTATACGTTGTCCCACGCAGATGTAGGTCGCCCCTTGTGTTATCCCCGACAGCTTGGAGTGCAGATCGTACATCGTAGGATATGTTATACCAGCTTGGATTGCAGGTCACTGCATGATGTGTTATCCCAGACGGCTTGAACTGCAACTCGTAGGACCTCGTAGGATATATTATCCCCGAGAGCTTGTAATGCACATCGTTTTACAACATGTCATCCCAGGCCATCGCTGCTATGGGCGACACCTATCGGATGGGGAAGTTCCTGGCCAAGGTCTACCCGGAGAGCCAGGGCTTCCTGGATGCCCTGAAGCTCGCACATCATCGTGGGAAATTGGAACACAAGGCGGCCAACGTGTTGAGGTGCGAAGGCCTTCTCGTGAGTGCCATGGTGGAAAAGGACCCGGCCTTGTCGCTTCGCTTGGTACGCAAAGAGACAGCAGCTTTGACCGGCAAAGCGCGAGGTGTGGCTTCGGAAGATGTTCACCCAGGCCTCTTGAGTTTGGCGCTCTCCAAGCTGCCAGGCTGAGTCATGTGATGGAACAAGTTTTCCTCCGGTCGTCTGAGCTTCATTCAAGCAGACAGCCTGCACTCGGTGATGTGGCTCTGCGCTTTTAGAAGTGTTGCTCGGCGGTTGCTGTGAAGGCTACAGCTATGGCTATGGGCTTTGACAAGTGTTTGTGGAAGTACTGCTGCGAAAGGCTCCTGTGTGACCTCTCGTTGCAAGGCCCAGAGTCCAGATCATTGCTTCAACAGCGGACCAACCAGCACAACTCGACGGCTTGCTGCTTTCGTGCACACACCTGGAGGTAAAGTTTAGATCTTTTTGGCCCCTTAGGACGTGGACAGACCCCAATGCAATGCAGGACTTCAGTTTTCGCTGTCGCAGTCGTGCTGGCAAGTGTTTGTTTCTCAGACCGTGGGCATCTGTCCGCAGCGACCGTGATCCCAGCACAGACAGCTCTTTCTGCTACGATCTCGGACTGCTTTCCGATCATATCTGAAGAGGCTTCAAGCCCTTAGGACTTTTCGGAAATCTGAACAGCTCGTCAATTTCCTCTCAGTTGGAATTGCAATTCGATCAGTAGCGGGAGTGGATTAGGGGATCCTTCTTTCTGCTTGCCATTTTCTCGCTGCAACAACACAGAGGACGGTGGAAAAGCAAACTCGCGCAGAGGCTACCGTTATTTGTCAAAGAGAGACCAGCTGATTATGATTGCGAGTAGCAAAACTATAGCTTGTCGTCATCCCAGTCTCCTACGTCTCTTACTTCCACTCCTACCTATTCCTATTCACCTATTCCTGCTCTTACTCTTCGTCATGTCCTCCTACTCAGGTCCTACTCTCCTCCTGCTACTACTCAACTCCCTCCTCCTCCGCCTCCTCCTGTTGCCCCTCGCACTCCTTCCACTGCTACTATTAGTGCTACTGCTTACTACTGCTACTACTACTACTACTACTACTACTACTACTACTACTACTATTACTACAAGCCTGGAAGGAAGGACACAAAACAGCATTAATTCTGATCACCTTTAATCGAACACACACCTCAAGTTGCTGAGTGTCCTTTCAACCGGCTCCTACTACTACTACTACTACTACTACTACTACTACTACTACTACTACTACTACTACTGCTACTACTAACTACTACTCCTGCTGCTGCTGCTACTACTACTACTACTACTACTTCTACTTCTGCCACAGCTACTACTACCACTACCAGTACCACGACCACTAGCACTACCACTACCACCACTACAACGACTACTAACGCCACTACTGCCACCACCACCACCCACCACCACCACCACCACCACCACCACCACCCACCACCACCAGCACCACCACCACAACCGCCACGGCCACCACCACATCAGGACACCCACCACCACTACCACCCCACCCCCGCCACCTCCACCGCCCCACCTCCACCACCACTGCCACCACCACCACCACCGCCACCACCACCATCACCACCACCACCACCGCCACCGCCACCGCTACCACTACTGCTACTACTACGACGATGATAATGACGACGACCGCTACCATTACCAGAACTACTATGACTACTACTCTGCGCAACTCAACAGTCTGCCGAGACCAGAGATAACCTGTTCAGTGGCAAGTTTCGCTGTGTCGGACTGTGTAGGAGTGTAGGACCAGTGACAGGAGTTGGGTAGAACGACTTTGGCAGGCTTTGGGCTTGAACCACACATGGCATCAGGCTTTGAACGACGTTGCCCAGCCTATGCAGGCTACAAATAAAGCTTCTGTAGGACTCGAAGACTCTGGGACCTAGGCCATCGCATGGGGGACATTGTCAGGAGCATCGTGTAATTACTCGTGAAATCATAGTAGTCAGTCTCACTCGTCATGCGGTGCTCAGACATGGCAATCCTGCCAATTTTGTGCTTGCTTGTGTGGAGCAGTGCTGCGCTGGGGTGAAGCGGGCGTTGGAAACAACGTGCGAGCAGGAGCCCAGGGCTCAGCATTGCTCAAGTGTTGCTGCTGTTGGCTGTTAGATTGGAGAACCAATGCACACGGAATCAAATCAGTGATGGCTGGTCCTGAAAGGCCCTCGAGAGCAGTGTCTGCACCGTGAGGAGCTAAGCCTCCGGGCTTTTGCACGCGTGCTGGAGCCAGTCGCAATCACCGCCGAGGTCTGGAATGGATGTTGCTCTGACGACGGATGCAGGTGCTTCTGACTTGTGCACCACTGGCACCAATTTTGACGACATGTGTGCCCTGAGATGGAGTAGGTCACTCGGATGCCACGGCTCAGAGCCCGGGGCTTGGGTTCTTTTGGTTTTACCGCTCTTGTAGCACACGCACTTCTGGTTATGGCACAGGTCGCATGGCTATGGCGGCGGCTACAGCTTCAGGTCTTGGCCTCAAGGTTTGAGGGTTGTGGACCACGTACGAATTCAACACCTAGCGGACCTAGCGCATCAGATGGATCTGGATGGTAGGAGTGTGGGCGGTGTTCCAGCAAACCTTCTCACATGCTTTGTTTGCAACCCTAAAGCCTTAAGACTCCTTCGAATCCTAAGCCCCAAAGCCTAAGCCCTATAGGCCCCAAACCTGTCTGTGCTCACACGGAGCTTGGCACAGGTTGCAGCACAAACCCCGCAGCCGCTGGCCAAAACTCGCTTGGCACTGAGTTTGAAATTGCAGAGTGCCGGCTGCGGCTACTTGTTGCTAGTTGCTAGTTTCATTTCATCTCTCACAGGACAGCCCATGGCATGCCATCCCCAACCACTTGCGTCACTGGCCCACAGCTGAGCTGACAACAACATCCTGAGTGATGTGTTTCGGTCATTATAACGGTACCCATCTTTGGCAGGTGCTGGAACTGGAACGGCCGAGTGGACTCCCCGACCTGAGTTAATGAAGCAACTCAGAACGACCATCGCCTTGATGACGACGATAGGCCAAGTCGAGGAGTCGAGCGATTCAAGTGAAGGCGAGGAGCAGGATCAGGAGGAACAGACCACACAGGAGCAGCAAACACAGGAGCAGAACACACAGGGCTTGCCAAATGCTGCGGATGAAGAAAGCTCTTCGCCACCACTCACACCAGAAGAGGAGGAAGTGCTGGGCCTAGCAGTGGAGCGTCACTTCCTGGGGAGGGGGTGGAATATGGTGCACATCCAACGTGCAGCTCGCATTCTTCGGGATCGACTGGCCAGGCAGGGTATCGCTTGTTCGCGAACTCAAGATTTTTCTCGTTAAATCTTTGCAGGGGCAGCTGATGCTCTGAGATCTACCAGGCTCGCTGTCCCTTTCCAATGTGTGCTGAGTCATAAGTTTTGAAAACAGTTGTTCGCGCTTAATGACTTTGCAGAATCTGCAGGTCACTGCTTTTTTGGAACAGGCCGGCTATGTCAGCTATACTGTTGAGTCAACTGTTGAGGCCATGAAGACTCAGCAGATGCTTGAGTGAGAGGATGGGCGCCGCTTGACATGTTGTGACGTGGGTGTGCGACAAGGCCCCGGCATCACAGACATGAGAAGTTGAAATTGTGACTCCAAGCTGGACAGGCACTTTCGTGATGCCTGAGTCTGGCGGATTCGGCCTTGTGAAAACGAGTATGCCTTGCGAAGTGCCAAAACAGTATGTCGCCCGTTCCGACTCCGCAGAGCTTGCTTAAGGACCTAGCCTAAGGGCCCAGGGCCTAAGGTGCTCTAGGGAAGCAAAGCCCAATTCTTTGGCAAACCCAGAAGCCTACCGTCCAACCTCGTTTTTGGAGCTTTAGCCGTTGAAGAACCTTCGGAGCGGCATGGAATGCAAATGTAGATCATAATATTACCTTGCCAAGCGAACCTGCAAAATCGGTAGCATTAGTATGCACCTCCCTTCACCCTGTTCTTCAGCGATCCATCTATCCATCCTCTCCCTCCAGCCGTCCATGTGTCGAACAGTCCTCTCTCTCGTGTGCTTCCTTAGGTATTATTTTCTTACTCACGAAACACATGTGCACATACAACCAGACGCACACACAGACACGCACGCACAAGCACATGCACACGCGCACGTACATGCATATGCGCACCCACTCGCACACATGTGCACAGCACAGCCTGTTGTAGTCACAATGCTCGCGGTTGCTATGGATTGGATGATTGAGCCTTGCTGTAGTAATGTAGTAGGAGTGCGAAGAACAAACTCTTGGATCGAAATTTCCCAATTTGCCAGCTTTGTAAAGCCTTACATGCAATAGACCGTGGGAGAAGAACTGAAGGTTGGGTTTCAATGCAAGGGGGCGATTGCTTCGTTGTGATGCGCTCTGTGTGACATTATGAGAAGGAAGCGAGAGAGAGAGAGTGAGAGAGAGAGAGAGAGAGAGAGAAGAGGTGCAGTAGTGCACAAAGATGGATACACATACTCAAGGATCTGTTCAAGGGAGTTCGTGTGGAGGCCACATGAAACATCGGGCTAGCGGCTCGGTTCTTTTTATCTGCCATGTCTGTTCGATGTGTGCAATATTGCGACAGGAAATTCTGGTCTCCATTATCGTCGTTTTTTAAAGCTATGGAACGTATTGAACAAGGCCTACAGCGTTGTAGGGGCCCTGATGATACAATTAATCTGTTCCTGTCCTCTCGTTTAAGAGCAGCTCGCATGTATTTTCAGTCATTTTGAGATAATATTATTGCTCTTGACATACACTGTGCTTGCATGTTCTGTGCGTGCTTTCATGTGCTTCTTTTCATGCACTCCTTTTTGCTCTTTGTCGACTATGACACTTTTGCCGTAATCTATTTTCGTGTAACGAAGCAATTCCTTACTGTTCCCTTCTTATGTTGTTATTTGCCTTTTGTGTGTGCATTATGGTTGCTTTTTGGTTGTTTTTTTGTTGCTTTTTTGTTGTTTTATTTGTTGCTTTTTTTTGGTTTATTTTTGGTTTTCTTTGCTGCTCCCTGATGGTTTCTTTTGTTCTGCATGTTGCTTTTTGTTCCGAATTATTTTGGTTGGTTCCCTTTTGGCATTTCCTTTGCTTGTGGATTGTCTTCCCAATATTTTCCGAATAGTTTAGGGTGGCAATTTTGGGTTGCTTTCTTTTTGGAATTCCATTTGGGTTGGATTTGGATTGTTTTCACATTGAAACCCTAATTAAATTATTTAAGCGATTTCCAACCGAGAGCCTGCTAAAAACATCATAAACGTAGTCCCAAGTAGAGTGTGTAGAGTAATCACGAGAACACATGAAACATGTGTGTGAACCGCGACACGGAGGCTTAAGCAAGTCAGCCCGCGAAGTGAGAAAAGTGTGTTTGCGAGTAGAGTGGGAAGGAAGGCTAGAGAAGCCTTTAGTTTCAACATGGTAGCGGAGCTCCCTGATTCAGACCTCTTGGGAGCGATGAAGCTATCACAGGAACAACAGGTAGCTGTCGCCATGGTTTCCTTGGCTTTGGCTTTTTCGCTGATGTGTCTGGCGAGAAGCTTTGTGAAAGAACTTGTGAGAAAGGAGACGGTGGAGCGCGTAGCTCCAGCTGAGGAAGAGTTGCCAGAACTCTGGTACTCGCCTTACGGAGAGAAGACCCACACCTCAGGAAGATGTCATGGCCTCAGGAACGCAACCAGCGTACACCGAGTACTACCATGCAAGTACTGCTGTCCCGGCGGACTCCGATCCCGGGAACAAGGCACCTTCGAGTACAAGAGAACCTTTTTGGAAGCAGCAGGAAAGTACCTTTGGCTAAAAGTCTTCATGGTTGTGGTTCTCATGGGCATGTCATGGTTCATGGTTTTTGAAGTGAACGAGACCTACGGCTACCCGTTGGCCACGAACCGCATGCTGAACTACAGGAACAAGGTCCTCAGCCTCGACAACAAGAACCCCAAGAAGAAGCATGTGATAAAGGAGATTACCCCAGCGGATGTTGTACCTGCCGGGATGAGCCAAGAAGGTGATCACACAGAGCTTTTCACGTTGTGGTCGCATGTACATGAGCCCAATACCAAACCGAGAACGAGAACGAGATCAACGTCACGAGCTACCTCAAGAAGACGAACGCGTACTCCGAGTTCTACAAGAACAGAAGAAAAAGAACAAAGTTGCAACTACAGTTTTCATGATGGTGATGTCACGGAGTATAACGAGAACCTAAAGAACGAAGAAGTGCCCCACGTGAACTACTACAAGAACCTTGTGTTTGAGTTGGTTTTGGAGTTTCAAGAGTACCTTGCGAAAGCAGGAAGAAGCCTTGAGCCCGTCGTGAGCTACGTCGTGCGCACGTGTCACCCAGTACTACTTCTACTTGGGACCCCGCTCGGTATGGTCACTTGGATCTACCTCTATTTTTGGGTCAGAGTTAAACAAACAAAAAGAGAACAGTTGAAGAAGAATGTTTCGAGAAGGAAGTTGCACAGGTCAGTTTGCAGCGTTCTTTTCAAGAAGCGAGTTTGGTTGCATGTTGTGTTGCTTTACAGTCACATGCAGAGTGCAGTTGCAATGGAGGAAGCCTTGCAAAGGCTTACGGACCTCACTGCCCAAAACACACAACAGATACAAGCACTTGCCCAAGCAATGAACAGTCAGCAAGCGCAGGCAGGTACCGCTTCACAACAACTACAGGAACTCGCGCAGTCAGTTTCACAACAGCAGAGAGCAATTACGGAAGCAACCCAAGCAACCAACACAGCACTGTCACAACAAGCAGAGCTTACGGCAAACGCGGTTGCAGCAACAGGAAAGCTTACAGCAGACGCAGTCACAGCACTGTCGCAGCACGCAGAGTCAAGAAGGCCAGGAGAGATCGACCTCCACAAGATGATCAAATCTCCAGAAGTCTTTGGCCCTACTACGTACAAAGAAGAACGTGATGGTTTTCTAGAGTTTCGGTTGAAGCTGAGAAGTTGGATAGGCGCTCTCAACAACGACATCCTTGAGAAGATCAATGCAGTCGAGATGGACAGAAGAGAAGCATCATGGGAATGGAGCAAACTTAACCCAGGTGAACAAGCACTTTCAAGAAAGCTACACTCCATTCTTACCAGCTACACACGTGGCCGTCCTCTACGAACTCTAAAGCAAGTACCCAACGAGAACGGTTTCGAAGCATGGAGGTTGTTGGTGGAGGAGCATCAGCCTCACAACCGTGCACGTTCTCTACAACTACTTAACGGAGTTCTTCACTACAGGTTCGACAAGCAAAGGTCAACACAAGAAAATATCTTGAAGTTTGAGGAGTTGATTGAAGAGTACGAGAGAGCGAGTGGAGACCTTGTTGCGGATGATATGAAGATTTCTATCATTCTTGGAGGAACTGAAGGGAACATGAGACAACATCTTCTACTCAACCAGAAAGAGACCACAAAGTACGGAACACTACGACAGTACCTCCTCTCCTACGAGCAAGCAGCAAGGTGGACTACCACAGACCTCATCAACTCAGGAAAGGACCACCAAGGACAAGCAGACATGGATGTTTCACGAGTTGAATGGTGGAAAGGCAAAGGAAAGGACCAAGGAAAAGGAAAGAAAGGAAAAGGATTCGGCAAGTACAAAGGCAAAGGCTACAGCAAAGGAAAAGGAAAAGGAGAAAGCCAGTACTACTACAAAGGCCGAGGAAAAGGAAAAGGACGAGGAACAGGAAAAGGAAAAGGCAGAGGCCGAGGATATGGCAAAGGCGGGGGAAAAGGCTACAGCAGCAAAGGAAAAGGCAAAGGCTACAACAACCCAGGAATTGGTGTTTGTCACTACTGCCAGAAGCCTGGACACTACGAAGCCAATTGCAGACTCAAGCAGAGAGACATGCAGCAGAACGTCAGGAACGCACAGGAGGAAGACGAGCAAAGCGTCAGGACACAGCCAACTACAGTTCCAAGTAGTAGCGCTTCAGCAGCCACAACAACAAGAACTACAAGTGCGAAGTCTACAGCTAAGCCAACAGTTCGGCAGATCGCGATGTACCACATGGACGACGATCCCGTCACGTGCCCTGAAGTTTTCGAACTTGATGAAGACGAAGAAGAGCTCGAGATTGAATACTTTGGAAGAGTCTTGAGAGTGACGGAAGCTGAAGAGTTTGTTTTGTCAGAAGGAGAAGAGAGCGAAGAAGAACAAGAAGATCCTCTACTGAACTGGTATCTTGGACGTGAAGCACTACCACCCCAAGAAGCGACACATGAGGCTTGCCTCTATCAGCTTTATTTTCCTAGGAGAGTTTTGAAAATTCTTGCGAAGTTTTCAAAACGACTTTGCTTTATTTTCGAACCACATATCATGGCATGAAAGCATGCTTTGAATCGTCCGAGTTAATATCTTTAATTTCCCGCGCCGCCTCGAGACAGGGGTGGGATGGGTGGGTAGCTACTCCCTGGCCAAAGGGCCGGAAATTTTTGTAGTGGGGTGTAGCGTGTGCCATGCCGGCTTGACAAGGCCGAGTTTGCAGCCAGCATGTCAGGGGACGACTCTCTTGAAAGTAGCCTCAAGAAGGCTCGCGTGCATGGGGCTTATGAGGGTCACCATGTGTCGTCTACGCGTGTTGCATCCCGAGGGCTTGGAAGCACAGTTAGGATGCCTTGGGAAATAGCTTCTACATTTCTTGACATGCCTGCCTTGCTCTCGCCTTTCGCCAAAGGGGGATGCATTGTGTCAGGGCCAGTAGGGCCGGCCGGTCCTGCAGGGCCGGTGAAGTCGTCTTCGGGAAAGCTTGAGTCACTCAGGCTTGCAGGAGTGAAGGTTCCGAGTGTGCCGGGACAAAGCTGGGATCAGAAACTCTCTGAGGCGAGGGAAGCAGCTTTGGCAAAGTGGCTAGGGATTCTTGAAAGGTTCCCTGACGATTTCGGTCTTTCTCTGTCGATTCGGCTAGATAAGGAGAACGGGCGAGACTCTGACTTGAAGTCTTCCTTGCAAGATGTGTTTTCTCAGAAGGCGAGCGTCACGATCTCGGGTCGTGCTGGGCCTCTTGCCAGGTACATCAAGCACTGCCGAAGTTGCCAGGTCATTCCTTTCCCTGTCACTGAAGCAGGGATCTATGCTTTCCTACAGGATTATGCATCTCACGAGGCGCCCACTTTCGCCAGGAGTTTCTTGAGCAGCCTTGCTTTTGCAAAGTTCACTGTGAGCTTGAAGGTGAGTGATGAAGTCTTCAGCCCCAGGGTCCGTGGGCCGTGGGCTGTCGTCGAAGCTGTATCTTGAAAAGAGGAAGACTCGGCAAAAGCCGTCGCTCAAAGTTGATCATGTGCGTAAGTTGGAGGCCATCGCTTCCGGCTCAATCGTGCTCGAGCCTTCAGACCGGGTCGCTGCTGGCTTCTTCGTGTGGACCTTGTATGCGCGAGCGAGGTACTCGGATGCCCAAGCTGCGGGTGCAATGACTTGCGACTTAAGCGATACGCCGGACGGCACAGTCGGATACCTGGAGTCCGCTGTTGAGCGAAGCAAGACTTCGTTCTCACTGGAAAGAAAGGTCTGGTATTTGCACATGTTTGCTCCCGTCCAAGGAATAGGTGAGGTGCCCTGGGGTGTCAAGTGGTTTGAGTTCTATAAGGAGCATGGGCCTCCTTTGGGGTCGGGTAAGCCCTTGCTTCCGAGCCCGCTCTCTGGCGGAGGGTGGCAAACATCGCCGCTGGCGGTGGCGAGTGCCACGAAATGGATGAAGTCACTCTTGATCCGTGCGGGTTGTGACAGGTCTTCCGTTGAACCGCTTGGGACGCATAGTCTCAAGGCAACGACCTTGAGTTGGAGCGCCAAATTCGGACTACCCCGCGAGGTGAGAGCGGCCCTAGGCTACCACGCCAGGGGCCGTGATGGGACCGAGCTCATCTATGGGAGAGACAACATGTCTGCTCCTGTGCGCCAGCTGCAAGGGGTTCTGCTCGAAGTGTCGCGCGAAAGGTTCATGCCGGACGCCACCAGGTCCGGTTACTTCGTGAAGCGCTTTGAAGATCCAGAGGGGATGCCCATTCCTCCTGACGAGGTTTTGTCGGAATCTTCTTCCGAGGCCAGCGAGGATGCCGAGGATGTCGATCATGTAGCTGCGGAGGCGGCCACCGACGAGTTGGGAAGGCAATGGGAGCCCGATGCAGGCTTGCGTGCCGAGCTTGAAGCAGTCCCTTTGTTCAGGAACAGGGACAGCCGTTTCATTCATGCTGTCGCATCCGAAGAAGGCGACAAGTTCAGATGTGGGAGAAACATCTCGACCAGGTATGAAAGGTTGTCCTCCGTCCCTCGAATTTTGTTTCCGCTGTGTAGAAGCTGTTGCCCACCTAAGAAGTGATGCTGAGGAGTGCAGTGAAAAGGAGCTTCTGAGTTTCTGAGCGTTACGCGCTTAGGCTGAGTGCTTCCAGGAGTGTGTGCGATTTGTAGTTTTCGAGTGACATGCATCAGTCAGAAGCAAGCATCGCGTTCATGAGGAGTCGGCTCAGTCTTAGGAAGTCTGTGCTTGAACCTGGTAAGTCAGAGCCCAGGCCACGAGGTGCGGATTCGGGAGTGTTCTGAGAACTTTCAGCTTGATTTGTAGGAGTATCACTAGCCCGGTTCCTGCTCCTGACGATGGCGAACTACTCTGAGAGTCAATCGGTTCTGCAGTCGCGATTGAGTGTCGTGGGTTTCGCGGAAGATGACGTTCAGAAAATCCTGCCAGAGGTGGGAAACTTGAGGAGGCTGGCATTCATTTCTTCTTTCACACCTGGTCAGACTGACGAGGGGCCGTTGATGCAGGTGTTGAAAGACATTTTGAAGCGAGACCTGACAATTGCAGACAAGGCTAATTGGCGTGCGGTTTACAATGAAGCTTTTGCCATTGTGACCGCGGAAATGAAGCAGAGGATTGAGAAGGCCGACCCAGAGTCGACCGTCAGGCCTTTGTCTCAGCCTGAGAGGTCGGAGCGGTACGAGCGGCAGGCCAAGAAGCTTGTCGGGATATCACTTAAAGGGCCTCTGGAGCCTGCCGATGCACTTGTTGATCTTGCTGTGGCTTCCTATGAGGCAAATGAGCTGAGGTACATTCCGTGGGACCGGTGTGTGTCCAAGGAAGCTGAATTGGCTGGCGAGAAGAAACGTGATGTCAGGTTCACTGTTGAGGAGTCTTCGGGAAAGCTTCGGATCGAGCATAAACAGCCTGATCTGGTTGCGGATACCTCATCGGAGATTCTTGTTCAGCAGGCTCTCACCAGGAGAGCTTTGGCCATGGATCAGGCGAACCTGATCGAGTTCAGTGTTGCTGATCAGTGGACTCAACGCTTGATGAAGGCTCGCATGCAATCGCCTGCGGAGCATTTTGCCAGGCCCACTTGGAAGCAGCTTGAGTCGGCGGACCGGCAGCTGTTTGCCGAGCTACGTGACAAGACCAGGGCAGGTGTGCAGACTGTCGCATCGGGTCGCCCGTTGGACTCTCTCCTGCCCGATGCGATGTACATGAACGAGGTGTCATGCCTATTGCAGCCTTTTCCAGCCCCTTCCATGAAGGACGCTCCCCAGAAGCCGGATGCTCCCAAGTGGGAGAGGCCTTCTCCTTACACCAAAGGTGGGGGCAAAGGAAAGAAAGGTAAGCAGAGGTTCATGACAAGGTTGCCCGCTGGCTTGGAAGGTTGCAGGTCCCACACTAATCGAGGGGACCCAATATGCTTTGCCTTCAACCTGGGTGGCTGCTCGACGAAGGGGCAGAAGTGCGAGAAAGGCTTGCACATCTGTGCAGTGCCTAAGTGCGGTGCTCATAACCATGGTGCAGCGGGCGCAAGGGGGCTCGTGACTATCTGGTCTCGAGGGTGCCTCGCTGATGGCCGGTGCTCCAGAGAGTGTGCATCAGCCGGCAGCGGAGGCCTCGCAGGTGGATGATCTCCTAGCGGGAGTTCATCGGCCGAAAGATGCATGCACGGGTGGCTGTCCAACGAAAGGTGTGGATTGTCGCCCAACTCCGAGTGTTGATCGAGAGGATCATCACGATCACAACGTTGGCTCGTACAGTGCCATCGCTAGGCCCTCGCCGAGTGTGGTGGAGGCCGCACGCAGCAGGTCCCCAAAGCACCGTGATGGGGCGGGGCCACAGAGCGGCAAAGCGAGTTCTTCACTTGACGAGGGTCATGTGAGTGCTGCTGATGTCCTTCGAGTCTTCGATGGTCTTCCTTCAGATGATTTGAAAAGGGGTGCCACTGCTCCTCTCCCAACTTCAAAGTCTTATGCCACAGGAGCGTATGTTCTTGGGGGCAATGTTGGCTTGAAGGCTAATGCTTCAACCAGCCCAGAAGCGCTCGACGTCTTTGCAAGGTTTGTGAGGCAGAGCGTTCCGGGGTTCAAATTTTCTTCAATAAATATATTCGAGGATGTTCGCACTGAGCGCCACCGCGATCAGTGGAATGCAAATTGGCATAACCTGGCGATTGCCCTGACAGAATTTTCAGGTGGCGCCATCTTTGTGGAGCACGAAGATGGCCGGGATGTTTCGTCCCTCAACGGTGCCCAGGGTTCTCGCCTGGCTGTTGCAGCGGGCCCCGTGCGATTCAATGCAAGGCATTATTGGCACTACACTGAGGCTTGGCAAGGCCGGAGGGTCGTGCTGATAGCATACACAATCCGTCATGTTGAATCGCTGAGCAAGGAACATCTTGATTTTCTCCGGAGGTGCAATGTTGATGTTCCGACACGCGCGCCTGAGAGCGCGCGCCTGGCGCCTGCCCAGGTGTGTGGTCGTCAGCGGCCTTCCTCACCCTCTAATGCAGCTCAGGTGTCGCTTAGGCCTTTGCCCGCTTCGGTTGCGCCCACCGTTAGCCCTAAGGAACCCAATGGCGGCCCTGGAAGTCCTTTAAAGCCTGGTTCTGCTCTCTATGTTGAAATAAAGTGTGGTTCCGGTTTGCTAGCTGCTCGTGTGCGGCGAGATGGATTCCAAGTCATGGCGCTTGAACACTCGCGCCCTGCTGGGAGGGTGCACATCCACCTGGTCCCGGTGGACATCGAAACTGAATCGGGTTTCTCATTTGCACAGACTGTCATTGGCCAAGATGCCCCTTTTCATGTGCACTTCTTCCCGGCGACTAAGGATTGTTTTAAGGCCTCTTTCGACGCAGTGCAAACCCTTCGCCTCGCCAAGCTCTTGCTCGCGTCTGACTTGCATTGGAGTATCTTGCATCCCCTGGCGTCGGCCCTCTGGGGCCAGCTGGACTTGCCCGATGCGGTGCACTGCCTCGAATTTTGTGCCGGCTGCTACGGGGCTCCCAGCCCGGTAAAGATGCGCATGTGTACAACACAGCCCGCGCTGGCAGGCATGCCCATACCAGTGTGCCGCTGTCGCCAAATGCCCCATGTTGCGGGCTCGCTTGCGCCAGATTCCTTGTACACACCGAAATTCTGCGACGTTTTCGCTGGCCTCTTGCAGCTGTCGGTAGGCCATGCCGGCCTCTTACTTGAACACGCTGTTCCGCTGCAATGCTCGCGTCATTCTGCAGCCGCTGCCGCGGGGCGACAGCCTCGATTGTCAAAATTCCAGCCACAGATCGCCGAATTTAAGTGCCAAGCCACGGTCCGTGAATTCCCGTGGCCTCTCCCTTTGGATGATAAAGGTAATCTTAAATGTGCCATCGGGTCGATCCCTCCTGGCTCCCGCCTTCTTCGCATTGTGTGTGATCGGGGGGTTGTCGGTGCGAAGCAGGTCGGAAGCCTGTCAGGTGTGCCTTCGTCAGTTACTTTTGGCATCTACCGCACAGAACATGAGTTTGTGGCGCAGGCGTTGCATATCGATCATCCCTTCGACTTGTGCGTGGCAGTCCCGGATTTCATGCTGAGAGCCTTGGCTTTTACCTTGAAAGAGGGTCCGGTTGGCGTGATGAAACACCGTCTGAATCTGCTCCAGCAGTGGACTTCTTGGAAGCGTGAGCTGTCAAGTGCCGAAGCCGAGCTTCATGCTGCCATGGATCCTGGTGTGGCATCTGTGATGAAAGGCAAGAATATTTTGCTTCTGGAAAAGATTGCTTCAACTTTCGGTTGGCCTGACACGGAAGTGTTTGATCACCTTAAGCATGGTTTTCCTTTGGTCGGGGAGTCGAGCCCTTCCGGCATTTTCGATGTAGACAGAAAGCCGGCTCTGATGACGCGTGCAGAGCTTGTGCAGCATGCCAAGTTTCTTAAGCCGGCGCTGTGGGCAAAGGTGGCGAGCGCAGAGGTGGACGATCTGGCTCGGGAGGTGTGGGATTCCACACAACAAGAGATGCTAGTCAAGGAGTGGCTGACGGGGCCTTACTCGTGGGACGAGCTGCAAGCCCGTCACCCCGAAGGATGGCTTCCAGTGCGGAGGTTCGGCATTGTGCAAAAGGCCAAGACGCGATCGATCGATGACTTGGCCGAGAACTCGGTCAACCGCGCTTATGCTGTCTCCGACCGGATTGCTCTGAGAGCCCTTGATGAACTGGTGTGGCTTGCGATCACTCTTTTCAAAATCTTCATGGCGAAAGGCGAGGTGAGCATTCCTTTGTCGGACGGTGAACATCTTCGCTTTCCTGTGCATTCCTTCTGGAGAGCCCTGAAGCCCGAGGCGCTTCAGCCGAGCTTGAAAACAGTGGATTTGAAAAGTGCTTATAAACAGTTGGCGGTCTCGCCACGAGATCGTTGTCTGAGCATAGTGACCATCAAGGACCCGGTTTCGGGCCTTCCATTCGGCTTCGAGAGCCGAACTCTTTTGTTTGGAGCCACCTCGTCGGTGGTTTCGTTCAACCGCGTTGCAAGGTTGATCCAGAGGGTTCTGATCACGTTGCAGGTGCTGGCCTGCAACTACTTTGATGATTACGGTGTTGGAGGTCTTGCCACTTTGCAACAACACGCAGTCGACCATCAAAGCTGCTCTGGATCTGCTGGGCTTCTCATGAACTATCTCCGCGCGTGCACGGATGAGTTTTTATTTTCCCTGCAAAACAAATTTATTTCGCTTTCGAAATAAATTAGGGCATGTGTGTGACTGTCTCATGTGAGCTATGTTAAGAGTGTTTCTCACGAAACATTTCTGCTCAAGGGAGAGGTGGGTGGGACCCCCAAAGTTTTGTAGAATTTTTCGTCTGGGGGTAGTGTATGGATGGTGCCGGGGCTCAGCCACTGAGCAAGTGAGCAGTCCGTGAGCTGCTACATGACCTTGAAGAGCGTGTGCTTGAAGCTCTAAGTGACGTGCTTTACAGAGCGGATAGACTTGAGGTCTGTGCCGGCTACTGTCCATTAGCAGCTGCCTTCTGCAGAATCGCATAGCTTCTTGTGAAGGCTTGTATCGGAGTGAGACGACTGACGTCGTTCTCGAGCACTAGACTGATGGAGCTGTGTGACAAGTCTTGTCAGGAGGAAACTGAGGCCACTAGCATGGCCCTCCCGGAAGACATTGATCTTCTGGAAGATGATGTCCAGGAGGCCAGTGTGGAGAAGCTTTCTCATGAGGCTTCCTTGCGGATGTCAGTTGCCACACAAGACGCAGGGTTAGGTTTAGGGCGTTGCGTGATTGACACAAAGCTTCCTTGGGAACTTCCGGGACTTGAGCTGGTTTTTGGTTCTCGTGCAAGCGTGCTACCAAAAGCCAGTGATGCCATTTTACCGCAGGCGGTGCCTTTTCCTGTCAGGGAATCTGTTGAAGAGGCATCCTCTTCGCGCGACTGTGCGCATCGTGCAAAGAAGGCCAGAGCAAGCGTCACCCTGGGAGCCTGCTTTCGGGATGTTGTCAATTTCAACCTTGTGGAAACTGACGCTGCGCTTGAAGAAGTCAAATGGACCAGAGCTTTAGAAATGTGGCTATTCGTGATCATGGAGGACTCCAGCTGTTCTGCGATAGGATCACGGATTAGCCGCAAAAACGGAGCTGATGCCATGAAGTGCCTTCGTGAACTCTTCGGGAAGAAAGCATCCAGTACCGTCGCAAAGCGTGGGAGTGCAATGCAGAAGTTCGTTGTGTGGGTACACAAAGCTTGCCCAGGCGAGTGTGCCCTGCCTATCACTTCAAAGCGTGTCGATGATTACATCGAGCAACTACAGGAAGCTAAGGTCCGACCTGGATCTTTCACAAGCTTTACTGAAGCTGTCAATTTCTCAGTGCATGTCGTTGGCTTGCCTTTCGATTGTGACGGATCTCTGAGGAACCCTTTCTCAGGAAAGCAGTTGTTCAGTCCTTGGGCTCGTGGGGCTGTTGCGCTGGAGATACAGAAGAAATCAGAGAGGAGGCAGAGCGCTGTCCTAACCACTGACAGCGTTCTTTACCTTGAGGCTTTCTTGAGCGACGAGGATGAAGATTTAGTCGACCGTTACGCTGCAGGATGCATGCTCTTCGGTTTGTTCAGCCGTAGTCGCATTAGTGATCTCAGAAAGGTCAAGGATTGGATTTTGGATTTTGATTGTTTGCAAAGCCACGGGCAAGGTTTCCTTGAGTGCAGCACTCGCAGTCACAAGACTGAGAAGGACGTCGCGGCCATTGGTCTTGCCATGCCCCTTGTTGCACCGGCTGTCGGCTTAGGTAAGGTGAGCTGGGCTGTTACATTCAGCAAGGTTGCTTCTGCAGTAGGTTTGGGGTTCGTAGGTCGGCCTGAGGGGCCTTTGCTGCCCGCTCCGGACGTTACCGGAGGATGGTTGTCCAGGTCGGTGACCACCTCCGAAGCTGGGGCTTGGCTCTGCAAGATTCTTGATAAGGGAGGGCAGCCATCCCAAGGGATCACAGGTCACAGCTTGAAAAGCACTACACTGACCTGGGCCTGTAAGTTTGGTTTCGATAAGTATTCCCGGTTACAACTTGGACACCATGCCACTGGCGAAGGAACATTGCACACCTATGGCCGAGATTACTTGGCGCCTGCCCTCAGGCGCTATGATGAAATGTTGGCTGCAATCAGAAACGGAACATTCTTCCCGGACCTTACGCGCTCGGGTCGCGTGCGAGGCACTGCACAGGTTCCGAAGGTGGAGGTCTCTGATGATGAAGTGCCTGATCCCGGGTTGACCAGCTTCGCTTCAGAAGGTTCTTTTGAGGCCATTGGTGTAGCATCCGCCGGAGAGAAGAGTGATGAAGATCAGGTTGCCGCACCCACTGACCATGAGCTGTCCTCCTCGGACAGCAGTAGCTCGCAGGACGAAGTCGTTGCAGGCAGGGACCACCCCGACTTGGACAACGACGAGATGGCGTGTGCAGTCGCCCGTCCCAAGCCAAGTTGGGAACCTGGATATGTCATGTACAAACATGTTAGGACACAGGTCGTTCATCTTTGCGCACAAGGCAGTTCGACCGGAGTTTTTGCGTGTGGGCGGAAGGTGACGTCCGATTTCAAGGAGGTCGCCCAAACTAAATTTTTGTCGTTTCGGAAGTGCAAGACCTGTGAAGGGGCAAAGCCGCTCCGCGATCCAGGAGCATTGGCCGAGGCCGTTAACGCTATGATGCAGCGAAAGTCGGCTGCAGAGAGTTTGTGAAGGTGCACTTGAAAGGCATCGCCTGAGAAAATACAGGGCAGACGACTTGTGGTTTGCAAAGTGAATGTCTGTTTGTGGAGAGTCGCTGTTGCATGTTCACAGCCTCCATCGAGTAAGTGACCGATGGGACTACGTGGCCGAGACGTGCCGGCCGCAAGACTTACCACCAACTTGAGCGCGCCTACATGTTCCTGTGCTCAAGAGGGCCGAGTGAACGTGCACTGCGGCTGCGCCGAGATGTGCCGGTGCCGAAGGGTTTATACATCACATGCAAGATTGCTATGGCTTCTAGGTCTTGACTGGAATACAGGATGGAATGATGAATATGCGTTCAGTTGGGAAACACTGCTTCCTAAACTGCGTGCCTTCGTACGAGCCTGTGTTTCGGAATATCATCTTTTCGATAGCGCTGTGCCAGTACCGAGTTTAGCTGTTTTGAGCCGTGCCAGTGCCATGACCTCTCTTACCGAGAGCCGCGCGGCCTTCGAGGATCGTGCGGCCGAGGTCGGATTGTCTGCCGACGACATCGCGGCCCTCACTGGATCCGGCATCCACAGTCTAGCCCGTCTAGCTTTTGCGGCAGTGCCGCCAGGGGCTACGCCTTCCAATGATCAGGTCCGCGAGCTTTTTGGTACTCGAGTAATCAACGCTGGTGTCGTCGCTGCCACAAAGCGACTGATCTTTGAGGCTCACACGATGGTTGTTGCAGATCTTAAGCAGAAAGTTGAAAAAGGGGATGATCCAACATCCCAGCGACTGAATCCTGCTGAGCGCGAAGCTCGCATCACAAGGCAGCGGGCCCGGCTCACAGGGTTAACGCACCGTGGAGTGGAAGAGGTCGCATTCGAGGCGTACAATTTGGTGTACGGCATGCTGCAACAAGACACGCTTGTGTACCAGCATCCAAACAAATTCACCACGCGTCAGCATGAACTTCAGCTTAAGAAGGCGGTGAAGGAGGTTTCGTTGGATGGGAGTGGCTCCTTGACAGTGCGAGACAAGCCGCAGCAGGCCACATGTGATACCCACGGAGAGCTGGAGCTGGTTCAAGCGCTCCGCCGAAGGGCGCTCGCATTCGACCTCGTAGGCTGCTGCTCTTACGATGCTATGAACATGTATCATAGCCTGCTCATCCAGCGAGTCCAGGACGCGCCGCCGCCTAACTACGCAAAGGTTAGTGTGGTTCAGGCACTCCGCGCTGACAGAGCGGCTTTCACGAGGATCGCTGAGAAGGTGCGTAGCCTGAAGACAGGCGCGGATGGGGTCCGTCCATTGGACCGTGCCTTCGAGAACATTCTCGATGACACACATGTCAGCTTTCATCTTCTGCCGCTTGCCATTCCCGAAAAACCTAAGCACCCGCCGCCTCCGCTCAAAAGGAAGGTCGAGGATCAGCAGGCCGATGACAAAGGGAATAAGCCAGGTAAGAAGGGCAAAGGCACAGGGAAAGGTAAGAAAGGTGGTGCTAGGCTGCGTGTGCCGAAGGAGTTGATTGGAAAGTGGAGCCAGAACAAAGATGGTGAACGCTTGTGCTGGGCATTTAATATGCAGTGCGGCTGTGGAGACGCCGCCCCGGGGAGTGCATGCTCGCGCGGGCTGCACTTATGCGCAGAGCCGGGATGCTTGCAGCCTCACTCTCTTCAGGAGCATCACAAGAAAAGCGGCGCTTGAGGGCCGGGGGCCCCTGAGCTTCGGACTGGGAAGGAGCGAGTGTCCTTCCTTGGACGTGCCACTGAACGTGTGGCCAAACTCAGCATCGCTGAAGCATTTTGCATTCAGGTTTGCTCAGGGGCCGGGAGGTTCACTGCGGCTCTTCGTGCATGTGGAATGAAAGATTCTTTTGCTGTGGATGCGCGGGTCGAGGGAGCTGTGTGTCCTATTGTATCACTGGACCTTAGCACTGCTGAGGGCCAAAAACACTTCCTTTCGCTTCTTAATGAGCCTAACCTGGTCTATGTGCACATGTCACCGCCGGCTGGTACTGCCACTCGCGGTGCCGGGCTTCGTGATGACTTGCATCCGCATGGGCTTCCTTCCTTGAGAGGTGCAGACAAAGTTCGGGTCAACCAGGCCAACCGCTTGTTCGAATTTTGTGCTCGTGCCTGCAAGATAATGTACATGCGAGGGATTTTATTTTCAGTTGAAGGGCCTCTTCAGTCTTTTTTGTGTGCCACCAAGTGGTGGCGAGATTTCTTCACAGACGTACCAATTTTCGCCACAACCTTGCACCAGTGCATGTTTGGCCACTCCCGAAAGAAGGCGACCCTATTGGTGCACACACTGCCTGCCTTCCTTTGCCTTCAACGCACTTGCGACGGCAAGCATTCGCACGCTTCTTGGGATTTCGCTAAGTCCTCTGCCGAGCTTAGTTATCCTTGGGCTCTCGCACGAGAGATGTCCACTTTGCTGCGAAAACAATTGCTTGATCTGGGTTGTGCCGACGCGCCGCAGTCCTTGCACGAGCTTGATAACCTAGTGACCGGAGCCCGCGTGTATTCCGGAGTTCAGGCCAGCAAACGCGTCTTGCCATTGGTCTCAGAGTTCAAAAACCGGGTCATGGTTTCAGGGTGTTGCGATCCCGCTTGTGTCAGTGGCCTTGAGCGCCGGAAAGTCCTAACGGAGGATTGGACTCCCCCTGTCGGGTCCACTCTGTCGGTGGACCTGCTCTCCATTCCTGCTGGAAGCAAGGTCCTTAGCATCTCCACACAAGGGGTGCAGCCAGATGCCGAAGGGGTACATAGTCATCCTGAGGTTAGTCCCGCTTGGGTTCCTTTGCCGCCTGCTCCCTTTTGTCCTAAGCCTCAGGTAGGTTTAGCGAGTTCGGGAGTGTTGGCGCAACCACCGCCTGCCGATGCGCAGAAATGTGAACATCTAGCTTACGAAATTATGTCGCGCCGCCAGCCTGGTGAGCTCACGGCCGATGACATGTTCGAAGTCCTGTCACAGACACCCGAAGTCCTTCCAGCCAGGGCCCGAGGTATCCAAACGGAGGACTCGCACCAATGGTTCTCCGGAGGCTACAGCCATGGTCCAATGGTCGGTGTCCGAAACTCAACTCTGCGCTGCCCTTGGACCACCGCCTTGGCATGCCGGTATGTACGCGAGCAAGCTCCGTGGCACAGGTTTGGAGCGATAGCATTCACGGTGAACCTTTTGGCTGAGCCACATGTGGATGCTCATAACGACCCTAGCTCTAACAACCTTGTGCTGCCTATTACGTCGTTCAAACGAGGTGGCCTGTGGCTTGCTGACAAAGCAGGCAGCTCGCCGAGGACCATAGACGGCACACGAGTGATGGGCACGGTGCTTTCCTTTGACGGCGGGGGAATTTGCTTCAACCCACGTGTGCCTCATGCGACTGAGCGCTGGGAAGGAGATCGTGCTGTACTAGTTGCATTCCTCCCGGGAGGTTTGGACGAGCTAGAGCAATGTGACCGGGCGATCATGGACGAGCTCGGCTTCGTCACATCTGCTTGTGCCACTGCCAATGCAGCCTCACAGCCCGTGAAGTTTACAGCTGAGTTTGGTGTCAGGTGGTCGCCCGAGGAGTTCGTCGAGCAGGCGTGCAATGTTGAACACCCCAGCAGCCTTTCGAACCTGCTCCCAGCAGACCTTGAAACCGCTGTTCGTAAAAACTTTGAGTTGGGCGAGCACGCATTGGGGCAGCATCGGACCGAGCTGATCAGAAAGTGGATTGCACGGGCGAACTCCCTCGTTGGTGAAGAGGATGCGCTGCGAAAGGGAATGTCCGATAACCGGCGTCACATCCTTGCACAAAAACGCCTGATCCTGTTCAGGACCCTTCTTGAGGATGCCGAGCACGCTGACCAAGGCCTCTTCAACGACTTAGTGCAAGGGTTCGACCTAGTTGGTAAGTTGCCTGAAAGTGGATTCTTCAAGAAGAAATTCAGACCAGCCAGCATGCTCGAAGCAGACTTGCGACAAGGTGCTGATCGTGCAAGGGAAGCCACTCTGGCGACTGTTGGGCCAGCGGATGATCCTGTCATCGACGAAGGTGTGCTGCAAGCGACCCTTAAGGAAGTAAACGCCGGTGTAGTCGAGGGACCCATAGACCCCAGCACGCTTCCTGAGGGAGCCACGCTTACCCGCCGTTTTGGTGTGGTTCAGGGAGAGGTTGATGGCGCGCCCAAGGTGCGGCCAATCGATAATTATAGGGCCTCTAGAGTTAATGCTGCCGTGACGCAATCGGAGCAAGTCACGGTCCACACTCTTGACGTGGTGGCGGGCATGATTTCGTCTTGGCTAGCCCGCGCCAAGGCCCATCGTGTCCGGTCTGCGATGAATGCCAAAACGTGGGACCTTAAGGCTGCGTATAAACAACTGCCTCTCAGTGACACCGCATTTGCTCGAGATGCCTACTTCGTGATCTACGACCCAAGGAGCCAGAAGCCCGCTGTGTTCAAGCAGCGGGCTCTCCCTTTCGGATCGCGAGCTTCAGTTACGGCGTTCATCAGATGCGCAGTGGCCGTCTGGACGGTAGCAGTCAAGTTGCTGTTCCTAGTTTGGTCCGTCTATTTCGACGACTACCTTAGCATCGCCCGCAGCAGCGAAGCAAAGCACGTCGAGCTGGTAATCAGTGTGTATTTTAGGCTCCTTGGGTGGAAGGTTTCCACCGATAAGCTTCTCCCCTATTCCACTTGCTGTAAGGTGTTAGGGATTGAGCTTGATGTGGGAAACGCCATTCGGGGTTACGCCTTGTTGAAGAATACCCTGAAACGCCGAAACGAAATCATTGCTTCTCTTGAAGAGGTTCTCGCTCGGGGCAGCATTGACGCGACGACGCTTGAAAAGATTCGAGGGCGAGCCCAGTTCGCAAGTGGCCAGTTGTTCGGCAGACTGGCGCGGCAGGCGCTTCACTGTTTGTCGGACAAGCCTTCGAAGAGCTTCTGTGTGTCCGAGCGCTTCAGGTGGGGTGCCACTCACCTTGTAGAGCTTTTGCAGAGTGGTTGCTCCAGAGTCGTTTCTAGGGACTTAGGTGA